AATATTGTACGTAGATCGATCTTGTGACGATAACTGATCTAACTGCTCAAAGCGATGGACACTGAAGCCTGGCGTACCCTATTAAACAGGAATAAAATGTTTCATTTTTATATGCTCAAATCTGTCATTAGTTATAAAAGTGGGACTTACGAAATCGAAATCGATTTACTTCGTAGTAAATTGCTGATTAGCTCTTCATCAATTCATGAAGAGTCGGTTATCACGCACAGACAGCTCACCCTCTAAAGGAAGAGGCTTCAGTTGTACTGTGATCGATCTTGTGATGAAAATCTAACCTTTCCAAAGGGATGAACAACTAAGTCTGACGTTCCCTGTTGAAAAAAAAAGATGTTTCATTTTTACGGGTTCAAATCCATCATGAGTTATAATTGTTTGACGTACGAAAACAAAATGCATTTAACGTTTTTTAATAAAATTTGCCGATACGTAATTTATTCTAGAAACAATACATTACCTACAATGAACCACTTACAACAGACAACAATACGATATTAACACGATGAAATAGAATAGAATTCTGTTCACAATTCAAAATAGAGACTGAATGACACATGAATCAAATACATTTATTTGTATGCGCGTTTGTACGGGTGTGTATGTGTGTAGATGTATGCATGGATGTATACGTATGTGAATTGGACCACTTTATCATTCGAGGTAAACCGCTGGATAGCTCTCCGTATCTTCCTTCCAGAGATAGAAAAAGTTTTAATGAATTTTATTAATTCTTTATCTATATTCGATTTCCATTTTTCACACAAAAATTCTACGCAATGATGGCTCTACAGCACAATGTTTGGCTGTTGACTTTGAAGAGTTTACGATGTAAATTGGCTACCGTAGAGTGTTCTAACGCTGACGTTTCGCGCGTTAGCCCTTGATCAGAAGTTTCACTCACTAAACTGTCATTTAGGAAAGTCAGCGAGTGACGTGAGGTCACTAAATGAGCTACATCATCAGGAATATCATTTACTTCGCCCACCTCACTTCGAATTGTACAAGGGCTAACGTACGAAACGTCAGCTTTAGAAAAACTCTACGGTGGCCAATTCAAATTATCAACTCAGTTGATAAAACCAAACTTTCTTGTCACGTCCTTCATTGACACGCACAGTTTCTTTAAAATCATTCCCTCTTCACGACCTTGAGGAGGTCGGATTCGGAAAGCCAGTGTGTGACGTGAGGCCACTATATAAGCTGTATCATCAGGAATATCTTCTACTTCACCCACCTCACTTCGAATTGACGAAGGGCTAACGTACGAAACGTCAACTTTAGAAAAACTCAACGGTGGCCAATTCACATCATCAACCCGGTTGATAAAACCAAATTTTCTTTTCACATCCTCCTCTGACATGCGCAGTTTCTCTAAAACCTTTCCCTTTTCATGACCTTGAAGAGGTCGGATTCGTTAGAGGGTGACTCTAAACAAATCAACTTTACCCGCGCAATTTTAATCAACGAGAGCAATACTTAAAGTTCTCAATGGTATTTAAAACTTTTATACCGACCTTGTGGTTTTTGGTTATGTCTTCCTCTATCGACTGTACTTTTCACTTTTTATCGTAGCGAGATATCACAACCGTCTTCCGCCAGGTCACTGAATCAAACAAAACATGATCGAAGTGTTATTCCTCTTCACATGACACAAAAACATTGAACTATTTCATTTGTTTGAAACAGGCAGTACTAACCACGACCTTTAGACATAGGTGCCTTGCCTTAAAGCAAGAAATCTCTACCAGACTGTTTGGTTTTTTGTGGAACATACGTCACCGGTCACTCATATCAAACAGCCAATAGAATTTGATCCTCTGCCTCTATGTGGCACTTTCACAGTCGTTCTCGTCCTCAGGCCTACCGTTTCTCTCGGCCGGAAGCCCATCCACACCGAGCAAATGCAAACCTCAGATGGTAATTTTTTTATTTATTGACATTGAATCATCAAACACTCATAATTACTTTTGATTAGTCAAGATGCGATAAAGCAGCAGTAAATGAGACATTTATTTTATTCATGTCATAAAAATTTAATGGGAGAACTCTAATAAGATAAACATAGGCATGCGTAGCATGCAAGAGTTATTTTTTCAGCTGGGTAGGTCGAGATGGGACACTTTGTGTTCCTAATATTTCACAACTTTCAAAAGAACGAAAATATCGCATAACTTCACTTTAACAGAAAGAAAAAACCTACTTTATCTAGATTCACACTGGTATTTTGTGATCTATTGTCTCTATTGAGTAAATACTTCTGAGCAAAAATAAAATGCATCGGTGCCACGCTCACTGTAGTCTCCTTCGCAGCCGTTGTTTGGCCCCGTCACACAACGCTCTATATTCCAGTTAGAGAGTGAGTGCGTTGCGTGAAGAGATTTTTATTAGACATATTTAAGGGACAGGTACTTTTCTGTCTTCCAGGTTCACTGACATGTTTCAAGCAATGCGATCGATGAATTTTGCTCAGTCTTAGTGTGTTTCTTTTATTCATTATTTCAGGCGTGCCGTTATGAAAACGAAATCATATCAAGCCAAAAATGCCCAAGCTACAACTTTAACTCAAAGGAAAAAGATAGATTTGTCATCTATCTCACCGCTTTAAAAATCAAAGGAAACTGAGAATAAGTCGTGGTTACATTACGTTTGAATGTGTTGTGAGGATAATTAAATTCCTCTTTACAAAAAACATACACTTTTACATGTGTAAACATAGGCAGCCAATGGGTAACTCTTAGAGAGTTGAAACTACTAGGAATTACTTTGAACTGCTAGGGTGATGTCGGGTGAATAGTCAGAATTCACATTTTGGCTATCGTTTTACCTTCACCATTCCTTAAACTTCACTTTTTGCCACAAAAGCTTATACTATAGCAGATTTCTGACGTAAAATTTGTATGAATGTGCTGCGTGTTGTGAATAAGTTACTCACTCCATTCCTCCTCGTTCTTTTCAAATAAGTTTCCTTTGGATAGCAATTGAATCCCGACAAAATTTCAAATGAACGATTGGCTGGTTGGCTGTAAATTTAGGTTCCCTCCTTTAACAATAACTCATAACTTTTTTGGTTCATTTTTTGCGCTGTTGTCCACCCCTACCGGTATATATCATAGGAGATCTTGGGGAGGGGAGTGGGGAAGAGTAAGAGAGTGGCTGTTGGTGGCAAGGTTTTTTTTGTCATTTTTATTAACCAATCAGGAAACTGAAACTGGGTCACGACGCAGCGTGACGCCGTTTGCACATCGATCAGCAGTTTTTGAAATGGCTTCGAAGAGTTCTTTGTCAAGAAGGAAGATTCACTGCGACACCTGAAGTCCTCTTCTCAACTTCACACGATCCATCATTACCATTGTCATTAAAGTCAGTGATTAATTGTTTGGTGTAATTATAATGTCTTTGAGTAGCTTCAGAAAACTCAGAATTTCTTAACTGACCCTGTGCCTGAAATTACTATCTAGTAATTTCAGGTACAGAATCAGTTGAATGTATTTCAGCATAATCAGTGCTTGCGTCTAAATTACTGAGGAATTCCTTCCATTTATTACTTTTGTTTGCAAGAGCATCATTGGCATCATCATTCATATCGGGATTATCAAGCCAATTTTCCTGAACTTCTGTATACTCATTTTGAAACAATTCACTTGTCTTAACAAGGTATTTTGGCGCTTCATTGGAAAGAACAGTTGAAACATAGTGTCCAATATCTAATTTGGCTTAAATTCTATAACGTGGATTGTCAAGTTTAATGCATCTACAACTGCATGTATAACAAGTGGATCAGCCCACGTAAGCGAAATACCTTGACCATAAATGTAATACTTCGTAATAATTCGTAATACTTTCGATGAATCTTTCTGGATTGTTACTCATAAATTGAACACCAGTGCTACGAACATTCATGTAATAGCCAGGTTCACCATACAACTTATGGGACTCAACTCAAAAGAAGCAATCACCTGCACCACTAACATCTAATATTCACAAGCTATGTTGAGTTGGTCGAGATTGTAACAATTAATTAAGATTGTTTGCATTATTTCCCTGAGTAACAGGTCCCATGTTTGACTCGATATCACCTGAAGTAACTTTGCCCTTGAAACAAAATACTTGCGATTTCGTTTCTTACACTTTATTGAATGACATCGAACAAAATGTACAAATTCATGATAAAACTACTGAATACTTCATGTCTTTTTATACTTTGCAGTCCTTTTTTTGAAAATGTAAACATAATCAATAGCAAAATATAACCATGAACCTTTTGCACGAGTGATTCTGTTACCGTGACGTCATAATCTATCATATTACACTATAAGAAACTTGATTAGTAAACGATTAATAATGATAATAGGACCGAGTGGAATCCAATTCGGTCTGTAATCATGCAAGTGATTAACAAAATCGGACGACCGCGAAGTGGGAGTCCGATCTGTCAATCACGAGTAAGATTACAGATAGAATTGGGCGACACAAAGTCCTTCACCAATCAATCATAACCATTACAATTTCAGGAAAAAAACATTTAGGACAAACATCTTCAGTAGAGACAACGTCTAAAGCAAAACATTTGGAAATTTCCCAGTTTTTTTTTTCAGGGTAAGTGCTTGTTGCTATGGTTATTGTGATAAATTCTGTGATTGGTGGATATAGCTGAGTAGACTGAGTATGATAGGCTGCTTCAACTATCCGATTACACTTTCCGATTAGAACTATATAGAGTGACTAGTGAGATATAAAGCAGGTGATGCACCAATCACATTTGAGGAAATTGTAATGTTAATGATTAATTGAGTTAGTGAACGCACGTGGTTAGATATTCTCCTGGAAACTAGTGCCGCTAATGTCGGTGCGTAAATTCATTTTATACTGTTTGGCTTTTCAATATCCTGTTAAGTTTCTAAGTACATCAAATCAGTTAGCGTTTGGTGATCTATTTTCAGTTGACCTTTTCCTTTAAATGGAAAGTAAGAGAATAAAGTAAATGAGTGCGACAACGAGTGTTTATTGAGTATAATCGAAACAATCACAGATTCCAACAGGTTTACCTCTTCACAGTCTGGTTTTAAGATAATTACCGTAAACAAACGATAAAATCGTCTTCAACGCTGACGAATGTGATTCACCATGCACAATATGAAACCTTACATACCTCTCTATTGCTTTAGCCTTGTTAAATAAGTTCAGAATTTTCTTCCACGGTAATCTCGATGGTTCTCGATCACGGCGGACGCCTATGCTAATACGACTGGACTTTGACCTACTTCTTCCTTCCTGTAATTTTCTAGTATGATTTCTGTTATCATCAGATAAGTCTCCTTGCTGCGGTTCGTTCTGCTTAGCCACAGGAGTGTTTTGGTTGGATATTACGGACTGATCAGTTGTGCTACTGATGTTTCTTAGAGCTTTGTTTAACCTTACGTTTAATTCATACGTTTGTTGATATGAGCGCTCATAGATTCTATAGGTTCCCTCACAAGTTTGAGCTAAGGCTCACTATTTATAAACCCCCTGTGAGCTTGGGGGATCGACGAGCAAACGTCTCGAGGAGTCAAAGACTCTTCGCATTCAGCGTCTACACTCATAGTCACACCTTTTAAAAGTCTTTCAAACAGATTTGACTCGCTTACACATGTGCTGACTGCGACGAGTAGTAATCGAAACTCTCTCTATGAAAAGTCGAATTTTATTTCAACGTCGCGGCATTTACTTCGGAAAGTCGATAGATGCGTTGCAGTATTATTTCGGAAAATCGATATCAATTGGTCTGCCGTTGACATATCGATTTGTTTACATCTGATTGAGTGATAAATTTGCAAATTCTTAAACCCTAACAGTAGTCGATTCTATGCTTCGTGTATCCACGACTAAAAAGCGTCGAAAAAAATTTCACTCTAAAAAAAGAAAGGTGTGTAACAATCCAAAACCAGATCCGAGCAAAGAAAATATTGCAATTGTTATGGTAATTTGTATCTTAAACAGGCGAAATCCATAACCACGTCTCCTGCTCTGCGCAAGGAACACTTCTAAATCTTGCCTCGAGTGGAAGGTTTCTCCAGGAAGATAATCTGTCTTGTCGTTCAAGTCTTGCACGAGTGTGGACTCGTGCCAAGTGACGTAACTCGCTGACAAGAAAGGGAAGAAAAATTTGTACACCACGACTAGCGTGCCAGAGATTTGAGCCATGTACTGGACCACAGAGTTTAACGAGTCTCTTGCCGCTTCCCACCAGTCGAAAATACTGGCTAAAAACACCACCAGGTAAAAGAGAGTGTGAATTAAAAACCAGACACGCATGCTGTTTATCCGTTTTTCAGTTTCATCACGTACTTGCTTGTGCATTATTACAGCATTCCGAACATCCCCAGTGCATTTAGCTAAGCGAAGGTATCCTTTTGCGAGATCGTTCGTCATCGAGAGGCACAGGGAGAAAAACACGCAGCAAACAGCGATCGACGAATACATTCCCCAGTATATAGAAGTGACAAGGGGATACCAAATACCTTTGCAAACGTTTTTCCTTGGACAATGCTCGGTGAGGGCTTTTTTAATGTGGTCTAAGTCAAAAATAACTTGTGAATGGGCGTCTAAGAACAGGACCCATGACACAAGCAGCAAACCAGTAAACAGACCCACGTTGACGGCTCGATGTTGAATTTTGCTCAGATCTGGCATCCATTCCTGTGACTGATACCTGAAGAAATGCAAAGCCAGGATGTACGATGAAAAACCGCTTATCCATAGTGATGTGAGTAGCATTTTCGACCCTATGTGAACTTTCAAATTCGTTTGGTCATTTGCCAACACAATGAAATACAGATGTGCCCCCAAGCCGAAGAGCATATGAAAGATCGGTATAAAAGTAAGCAACCAAAGAGATCTGTTCTTCTTAGGTAACCAAACACCAAGGAAAGCAACCGCCAAGAAACAAGACAAGGGCCAGTGGGAATCAAAGAGAGCAAACTTGAATTTTGTAAAGATCCTGCAACACTGACCCCTCGATCGTCCGTCAACTGAGTCTCCGTGTACATCAAAAGCAGTGTTTTGCAATGATTTATCGTAAATATCTACCGCCAATTGAAGGGAACTAGGCATTTCCTCAGTTTTCAAACTGGAAGAAATGATCTCCTGCCCCAGTAATGGTTCTGTTTCTGTTGGTATCTCCACCTCCATTACGGCTTACTCAAGATTTTTACTTCCGAAATGATACTCCAGGAGATTAGATCCCAATCTTCGCTCCAACAAGCCCGTCCCAGGCCTCGATCGTTAAAACCGAGTGAAAAAGCCAAAAAAGCGGATAAGTGATCACAGGCGAGAGTCAGCTAAACCAGCCGTTTCCCTGACAATTGAGCCTTCCATCATGTCGTTCGTAGGCTCCTTTGCTGGTCCCCACAGAGTGTGAGCCTGAAAGACCGTAGTTTTGCCCGTTCGCTCTCGCTCCGAACACGCTACCGATTTTATACCCCAAATAGAAATCATTTGATTTTGAACATAATATACTTATGTCCTAAATTTTTCAATTTATCTTTTAACTGGTTCGATACTATTGGAAAGGTTACAACGGGTCTAAGCCGTTTAAAAGCGAAATCTTGCAACTTCACGGACAGAGAGCATGACTTGTCTGACTGGCTTTTTCAATTACAATTGTTTTTTTTTATGGCAGCGCATTGCATAGGAGGAAAGAGTCTGTATCGTTTCATCAAAAGGAAAAGGGAAACTTATAGAATTGTTTCAAAACAAATGGGTGTATCAATCCATCAAGTGATAGGAGCCAAAGAAAAGACCTGTTCAGACCATTTTTTCAATTGAACTTGGTCTTAATGATAGTTTGATAGGCCGCCCGAACTCAAATTGATCTTTTTTCTCTTTTTCCTCTTTTTTCCTTTCTTCCTTTTATTTTAATTTTTCATTTCTTTCTCTATCTGTAGTGCTGACAAAGTAGGCGGGTCAGGGGCCTGACCATTTTATGCCTATATTTGGAGTTTGAGAGAGAAAGACTGGGTCCTATTTTAATCGGATTGCAACGTGCACAGCGCTGAGGACGTAGGAAACAAACACTAAAATGGTATAGGATGATTTGTATTTCACGATCTGGTCGTTTTTTTAGTGAAAAATGTTAACCCTCCTTTTTTTTTTTGTTCACAGACTACTTATACTGACAAAGGAGAGAAGGTAAGTTCGAAGCAGTCATAAATATATACACATCATTGTCATCGAGTAATTCAGTGTTAACAACTAAGGTGAAAACGTAAATTAGCCACCGTAAAGGATAAAAAAGCTGACATTTCGAGCGTTAGCCCTTCGTCAGAGCTTTCAACTTAGTTGGTAACACTAAATTACCTGCTATACTCTCCCACCGACACAGCACCATAGTTTCTTTTGAAACTTACCCCCTTTGTCAATTGTCATCGAGTGTTGCACTACTGACCTTGATCTTTCTAAACGTTCCATAGAAGACTTATATTAGACTTACCTTGCCAGTTTTTATCTTTACGATACAAATGGGAGATCTCTCTCCGTGTTAATTTGTGTAGCTCTCTGTTTTCAGCCAGAAGTTGGTTCTTTTGTTGCCTTCGATCACATCACATTTTGGGTCGGAAATGCCAAGCAGGTTAGTAAAAAATGGGAGCAACTTCAGAATACCCCGCAACTCATTTACATGTCATTGAATAAGAATAGCGTCTATTGTGTTATGCCTCGATCTTCAAAGCCTCCCGACACATGTAAGTGAGGTGGACCAAAGTGGCGGGGTATTCTGAAGTTATATCATTATCATATGCCGCGAAGGGCCGTGTAAATATTTTTACTGCAAAAAAATTAAAATAAATTGCATAGATATTTGCATAAGGACTGTAAAATGGAGCAAAAAGGTCTTTAACAAGGCTCCACGGCCTTGCATACTGCCTTTGAGATGCAGGATCCAAGAAGAAATAGTCATTTGAGGAAATGGTCGAAAATTGAGTTACCATAGGTCGAATCAGGAAGGAAAACATTTGATTCAAGGTGGCTCGGTCTGTACATTTTTATCTACAAAATATTTTTCCTATCCAGCCCTCCAACTCATTCAGTAAGTAAGTGTATATTACACTAATCTTAATTTAGTTTTTGGATGGTTATTTATTTTATACTTCATGGTCATAATCATAAAAATTTATCCTAGAGTTGTTGTGAGCAGTGGGAGAGTTTTATTTTGATCAAATGTTCTCTCTCTGACTGAGAAAATAACAAATGTCAACTTTAATTCTAACACTGGAACTGGCTGAGGTTGGAATAAATCTTCACAAAATTTCACTTTTCTTTATGTGCAGACTAATTCTGTAGTAGATATGTGATCAATAGTTTAAGTAAATTTTTCTGTATCTGGGAAGCTTAGGAAGTAGTAATGAGAGGATTCATTATGCAAATCTTGTAACAATTTAACATAGCCTTAGGGGTATGGGGAGAGCATCTTATTAAAAACAACAGATCAATTGGGGAGGACTTTTGTGGGAATGATGGCTAATTTTGTACCAGATGGGTACTGTGTAATAGCCCAATACTCAGAATTTGGAATACTGATGATTCTCTCTTGAGAACTTATTTTTTAGTGGGTAGGAATAAAATATCAAGTTTATCTGGCAACCTTGGACTTGACCAATTTTTAAAAAAATGATATTCTACATGGTGTGTTCACGAGTTCAGCATAGTGTCACTAAGATTATCATATTCTGTTTTTCTAGTGATAAGAGGGTACAAATAATTCATGTTAAAAATCATTGTGCTAGAGCAGAAGCAAATGAGGGTTGTAGCTTTAATGTAATTATGGAACAAACAATTTGGAGGACAAAAAACTCTCCACTTGCTTGACTCTTGTGCTGACTTTCACTCTGGTTGAGGAAAAATTAGTCACTGCTGCTACCAGCTGTCTTATAACCCTTACCAAAGTGATCACACCACATCTAAATCTCCTGATCATCAAACTATTTCTTGTGGTCTTTAAGTTCATTGTAAAATTCTTTGAATGTAAGTTAAGGTAGGAAACAATTACTTCCTTGCATCAACAGGCTGCCTCATATTATTGTAACAAAATGGGATTTGAACCATTTGGGTATAAGGGACTAGAAACAGGATCAAGAGAGGTGGTATCGCATGCGGTCAAACAGGACAAGGTATGGTTTTCTGCCCCTACCCATTCTAGGTATCACTGTTATGTTGCTGTCTCTGTTATTGCAATTGGCCTCATACATGAGCCTTACCATAACCCAGGACCCAGTTAGCACCAACCCAAGGTTAAATTCTAACCATTTTTTTTTATTCCTCTGTTCAATAGCCTTCTGGGGATAATTTTCTGAATCATCTAATAATTATATTCTATACAAAACCAATTTGACTGAATTTGACTTTAGAAGCTTTTAGATCTGAAATCAGAGTTCACAGTAACCCTGGGTTATCTTAACCCAGCTTTGAACAACCTGGCCCAGATGTCTAAAATCAAAATTTGAACAAACATGGGCTGTTTGCATAAAAGTGTCGCACAGATTAACTATGTCTAAGGCCAATTACTAAGGAACTCATCCTTTGCATTTTCTTTCAGATCATATTTGTTTTCAAGTCACCTCTTAATCCTTCAGGAAAGATATCAGAAGGTAAAGTTCTCAGAATTAATCAAACATAAAAATTTCAATATGGCTTTGACTTGAATTTTTTTTTAAAGTTTATTTTACCATGAAGAACAGGGCTCTGTTGCTTGAAACATATGATATTTTTTGCCATACATTCATCGTTGTACATGATTTACCAATGATTTTTTTTGTGGTAGTGATGGGAAAACACCTGATTGTACATGGTGATGGAGTGAAGGATGTTGCTTTTGAAGTGGAGGACTGTATTGCTCTTTACAAGGTGACCTGCAGAATGTAGCAAGGTAGCATGTAGCCAAGCTCATCACAAAATCTCTATAGATTAGCATAAGAGGCACTGATATGACTGCAAAATGTGAAGGCCTGAAGTGCAAATCAGTTCATGGGGAGGCACATTTTTTCTTGTCCCATTCTCACAATGAACAAATCACATATAGTTAAACCTGTACTAAGTGGCATGGTATTCCGTGGTCACCCTGGATTAACCCTTTAGCTGCCAGGGGTGATTAACATGTAGTTTCTCCCCATGATATCCAAACATTATCCAACAAAAAGGTGTTGAGAATACTAAAACTTGTTAGGTAGAAGTTGTTGTCTTGATCAAACACCAAATTCTCGTAACTATTTTACAAGGAAACATGTAGCAGCTAAAGGGGAGAATTAACAATCAGATCTTGGGAGTTAAAGGGTTAAATCAATGTTAGCACTCTGAGTTCAGTTGTCCACAACTCATTGCAGATTGTCTTTCTTCTTAAGATAGTCAGGACAAGATGGCATTTTATCTCATTTGTTCTTATTCTGTGGAATCTGTGTCAAATCAGTTACATCCTAATATCAGAATACATCTTGTACATACTGTTATCTTTACTTTTCTCGTGATATTGATAAGGAGAATTTGTTTAGCAATCAAGAGTGTCATCATTCAATGATCATTTCCTTTATTCTCATGACTTTAGTGTTTGATTCAGGGGTGATATTGTAAGGAGAAATTAGAGTCTGGTCACTCTTAGGGGTTAAAAGGTTAATGGTCAACCTGTAATGAGTGTTCACCCACTATTCCCTATGGGTGACTGCTTAATACAGGTTTAATTATATTTAAGTTACTATTATAATTACTCTTTTGTTTGGCTTATACAGGCTGCCATTAAGCGTGGTGCAGTGTCTGTTCATGAGCCATGGGATGAAACAGATGAAGATGGCACTGTGACTTTTGCAACTGTGCAGACAGTGAGTAATTATCTATAACTATTAAATATAGCTATGGCATTTTGTTTCTCCAGAGTCTTGATTGGTTTACAGGACTCATATTAGAGTTCCTATTTCATGGACCAAGAATATGGTCACAAACAATTGTAAGAAATTTTTTTCATGTTTGTAGCAGATCTTGAGATATTTCTTGAGCTGTTATTTAAGAATGGATAGCAATTATTGTTCAACTCACACTTGTTGGGTATGATATGGTTAACTCTCAAGATCTCATTAGTAATTCTCCTTACTGTCTGCCATACAATTCTTTAGATTTTATTCAGAGAATTTAGTATAGGATCAACCAATAATCTCCTTATTGATATTTTTCTTTAATCTCATCACTTGCCTGCTTGATACTGTATTGGTATTGTGAGGAGAAATTTTGCAATGTCAAGATGAAAGTTACTTCTTTAAATTTGATCTCTGTGATATCTGTTTGATTGTAGTATGGTGACACAACACACACATTTGTTGAAAGAAAGGGATTCAGCGGTCTCTTTCTACCCGGGTACAAGCCTCCAATCACCAAAGATTGCCTTCTACCCAAACTGTAAGTATACCTTAATTGTTCTGCACCATTAGAAGCAAGTTTTTTTTAAAAGCTATTCGCACATGTCTTACATGTAACTTAAGGATTGCAATTCTTCTATTGATGACTATCAGTTTCTTTAACATGTACACTGTTCTTTAAGCTGAAGTCAGTGGGACGTCTTTCTTTTAAGCAAGTTTTAAATTGATTCTTTATAATTCCAGAAAAAGGGTTTTTCTAATTTTAACAAGTTCATCAAATTGCACAACAACACAAAAATGAGAGAAGATATGTTAAGTATATCAAACAACATCATTAGCAGTATTCTATGTTCACTCTGCTCCTTGTTTTATACAGTATATTTAGTCCTCTTATATCTTATACATCTCCTAGAAGCATCATCTTGATTACCCACCCCTCCCCCCAACCCCAGTCTAGAGCCTAGTTGTTCGAAGAACAATTTGTGCTAACCCAGGGGTAAAAGTTTACATTTTTATTGGGGTTTCTTTATTCCTTTCTTCAAAAGCCTTTTTCAGATAATTTCTCAAGTATTCCTTTTAGAGTGTTAAGGCATCAAACTGTTGACAAAAATAATTAAACAGAATAATCTTTCAAAGCTTTCAGATCTGAGGTCAGATTTCAGACTAACCCTGGGTTATCTTAACCTAGCTTTGAATAACCTGGCCCAGGACTTTTATTTTTGCACAAACACCTTCTTTCATAGGGGTAGATAAGTCAAGCCAAAAATCCTACTATGGAAACTAAATTCTCAATATCTCCTGAAATAACAGATCATTTTTAAAACCAAGGCAATTCATCGCTTATGTTTCGATTAAATATGCACCCTAAATGCTAATAATGGTAGTAGGACTGAGTGGTATCCAATTCGATGTGTAATCATATGTCGAGTACTTCACAAAATCTGATGACAGTGAAGCAAGAGTCCAATTTGTCAATCTCAAGTATGATTATGGACATATTTGAATGACACAAAGTGCAGTTACCAGTTAATCAAATCTAGAAACAAAATGTGAGAAAGAAGCTAGACATTGGTTGTACGTCTTCATAAAAATCAGCAGTTAATGTGCCAAAATGCATGACAACGGAGCATGCACATGATGGGTACTGTCCATTTACACAGGCATGATGTCAATTGTCTTATATTACACTGTCCAATTAAAAGCATGACACATACACTGTCTTATCCCTTTAACTACCATGAGTGACCAAGACAGAATTTCTCCTTACAATATCAATACAATATCAACCAGATAAGTGATGAGAATTGAGAAAAATATCAATTTGGGGATAATTAGTTGATTCATTACTAAATTCTCTGAACTAACATGATAAGAAAAGTATGGTTGACAGAAAGGAGAATTACAAATTTGATCTGGGAGTCAAAGGGTTATTAGTGCTCAAATCAAGCTGGTGATAATAACCATTCACATACTTTAGGTAAACTTTGTTATAGTTTTGATTGAAGGTGTAACTGTTCTTCTCATATTTCTTAGACCACCAGGCCTTCTTTGTTTTATTGATCATGTTGTTGGTAACCAGCCAGAGGATGGTATGGTGTCCACTGCTGAATGGTAAGTCCAGTCTAATAAAGATGAAAATTACAGTGATTAATCCTTTAACTTCCACGAGTGACCAAGACAGAATTTCTCCTCACAATATCAATACAATATCAAGCAGACAAGTGAGGAGAATAAAGAAAAATATGAATTACGGAATTGCAAGTTGATCCAATATCAAATTCTCCAAATTAACATCACAAGAACTGTATGGCAAACAGTAGGGAGGATTACTAATGAGGTCTTGGGAGCTAAAAGGTTAAAGGTTAAAAGGTTAATAACTGCATCACTAATTGGAGGTTGGGTGCCTGAAACATCCAGGAGCTTCCACTACTGGCAGCCAGCTCCTATATGGAGACTTCTCCCATGGCTGGCAAATCCTGGCAACCAGGCCATGAGCCCTCACACAGGAAATGGGAACAGGCACCTGTCACACTGAATAAACAGTGGAAAGAGGGAGGGAAGGGGTGGGGGAAACTGCCTGGATGAAGAGCTGCCACTCCTCACAACACTACAAGTACATGCTCAAAGTACATGCAAGAACGCCTCCAACAAAGATCGCATGGAATTCCAGTGCATGCGCATATGTGAAAAACTGCTGACCATTAGAAAACACTGTTGCTCTTTGTTGTTAACTCTGTTAGATTGCATTTAACTGCACGAAATTTGAGACTGACAACTGACCATTTAATACAGGGTGACTGCTAAATACAGTGCCACCTAATACAGGTTCGACTGTACTTTGGTTTAGGTAATATGACACACAATTGAAAGCACTTTTATAAGTTCAACAAGCAACAGAGAAGTGAGAATAAACAAATCAAACCATGGATGGTGGTAATGGATGGGATAGGTTGGACTGATCAAATGTAGGCAAACATTTTTAAGATGCGTAAGTCTGTGTTAGAACCCTGTTTTGCTGCCTCATCCTCAATCCTTCCCTTCTCCTTCACAGATTAAATTACTGATTAACACCTTCACTCCTAGGATCTTTTATGAAATTCTCCTTACTGTCTGCCATACCATATGATATGAGTTTGGAGAATTTGGTATTGGATCAACTAATAATCCCCTAATTAATGTTCGTCTTTATCCTTAATACTATGAATGGAGAAATTCTGCCTTGGTCACTTGTGGGAGTTAAAGTGTTAATAAACATATATTAAGTCCTTAAATTGTTGTTTTTCTCTGTAAAATTTATACTCTGTTGGTCTCTGAAGGTATGAGAAGAATTTACAGTTTCACAGGTTTTGGTCTGTTGATGATAAACAGGTATGTTACTTGTTACAAACAGACTCCACTTTCCTTCTTTCTGTTCAGATTTATAGCTCAGATGTTGAGAAAGATGTTTTTTGTCATGTCACGAGTGTGGGAGTCCCCATGAGGAATCAAACCTCAGACCTTTGGATTCCGCTTTCCAATGCTCTACCGTACCACTGAGCCACAGAGACTCTACGGTGAGCGAGGTCTATTACAAAGTTCATATGACATGCATCCTAATACTGCTAGGATCAGCAATGTTGATAGCATTATGTTTGTAATTAGATTAAAAGAGATGGTAAGTTTTGAGTTCAGTATGGAAACAGAGAAAGATGTTTTTTTGTCTTGTCACGAGCATGGGACAAAAGGAAAAAATTCTGAGACCCCATGAGGAATTGAATATCAGACCTTTGGATTCCTGAGTGACTAAGAAATAAATTCTTGTAACAGTTTTATTTAAATGTCAAATAGAGATGTAGGGAGAAGTGAGAAAATCATCAACTAGAAACTGGTCTTTCGATAGAACTCCAAATTCTCAGGAATAGGCAACAAAGTTTTGTGTGTCACGAGTTAGAAGAATTAACTTTCATATCTTGGGAATGAAAAGGTTAATCTGCTGAACCAAGAAAAATCTTGGGATTATTTTTAGTTCGAAACTGTCCACTATGTTGGTCAACGAACACATGATTCCAGCAATACTGATGGGTATATATTCACTTCATTGAGTAGACCCTACACCAATGTTTTGTTGTTTAGATTAATACAGAGTACAGTGCACTTCGATCAATTGTGGTCACAAACTGGGAAGAGACAATTAAGTTGCCTATCAATGAACCAGCCCCAGGAAAAAGAAAAAGCCAGATACAGGTATGTACATGATTATGGACCATGTATTAGGTCAAGATATATATGTTATTCACCAGACAGGAGGTCTGTATTGGGAAAAACTGTGCCAAAGGCGGTAGGCCTTGGCAGTACACAAGACAGAGGGCACAGTTTTTCCCAATACGGACTGATCTTGGCTGGTGAATAACATTTTTATTCTTTTCTAAAACCTAGCAAATGGTTCTGAAAAGAACCTGACCCACTCTGAGCAGGCCGGATGGGGAGAATTCTGCGTGCTCTTGGAACCAATCAGATTGCAGTATTTTTAGAATACCACCTGCTCATGAACTGAGAAAAAAATAAAACTAGATATTTGCCAAGTTATTATAATTATTATTATTTTTTTGTTTTTTTTGTATTTGTTTTTTGTGCAATGAGACTTAGTCAGGGTCCGTAAAAGCACAAGAAAATATCCAGCCACTTTGACAGCACAAGCATGATAAATGAAATAATTATTTCATGACCAGGGGATCCAGCAAAGGAATTGAACTTTACAGGGAAATGTAGGCAATGCCAACCACATCAATGACATTCAATTTCATTACACTTCCATTCATACTCTGTTTAATAACTAATGTCTAGTTTTCCTCTCAAATTCTGTCATAGTTTTGATTAATTGGTAACAGGACTTCATGTTGTCCAATTCTGTCAGTAATCATATTTGTGATTAACAAATCAGACTCCCACTTCTCGGTCGTCCGATTTTGTTAATCACTCCTATGATCACAGACCAAATTGGACTCCACTTAGTCCTATTACCGTTATGAATTACTGGTAAGATATGGGAATAATGGTTAACCAAAAGACTGAGCAAAGCTGGAACAGTCCTCTGTTTCTCTGTGCTTTGCTGGAAAAACTAAGTGTGAATGGAGTAGACTAATTTCCTGGTATTTCCCAGAACCTCTTTTGCAAGCAGTGCTAAGCATGCTCATGTAACTGATATGACAATATACATGAAAAAAACTATGCTAATCTGATAGGCTGAAAGTGAGTACATTTTTCATGTAACACGAGTGCAAATTACAAATGGTGTGTGCCGTCAAAAAATTTGTTCATCATGATTCTATGTAATGCAATTTCAATTGTCTTTTGAAAATTTAGTTGTGCTTATTTACACCAAATTGCACTCGAAATCATGATGTTACCTTTACAAACTGCGTTGTTGTTGCATAATTCAACTTTGCATTGCATTATGAGCATGGTGACTAAACCTAGTCAATGCACAAAATTTATGTTGTCAGTTGGTCTTTATTTGTGATACTCATCTTGTTTCAGGAGTATGTCGACTTCTACGGAACAGCAGGAGTTCAACACATTGCACTCAACACATCTGATATCATCTCTACTGTAAGTGACAACCTGAATCATTAACTGTACTAGATTGTACGTTTTGTGACGTGAAGTTACTTTTTTTTTTCAGATAAGGAATCTGAAGGAGAGAGGCATGGATTTTCTCGTTATTCCTGATACATATTATGAAAATCTTCGTGCACGTCTTAAGGATGCACCCATTAAGGTGGAGGAAGACCTGGATGTGGTAAGATATTTTAACTTGGACCCTTGGACAGTTGAGGGGAATTTTAGTGGGGATCAGCTACATGTACCAAGGCTTTCAAACTCTGGCTGCATCAAACCTTTAACTCCCATGAGTGACCAACACATAAATTTTCCTTACAATTTTAGTGCAGTATCAAGCAGACAAGTAATGAGAAGAAAAAAAATTTCAATTAAAGGATTATTTGTTGATTCAATACCAAATTCTCCAATTCACATCATAAGAATGGTATGGAGCACTATACGCGTCAAGTTTCCCCGGTCAGCTGCACAAATTTTTAGTAAGCTCTGTTTAAATATGTTTTTTTTTCGTGTTCTAGCTTCAAGATCTGAAGATTTTGGTCGATTTTGATGACAAAGGTT